TTAGAACAAATTAGAAGGACGTTGGGATTCTATTCTCTCTGCTCTCACAGCGGCAGGAGTTTCAAAGAACTTTTGCTATTGTCTTGTGAGCCCACTCAAACATATGTATTCTTCAAAGTTAGTACCTTCTTTACACGAAATTTAGTATTTTTGCACTGATCAAAAGCATACTTCAGAATAAATAATACAACATCAGCCTTTTTTTAAGCGTGGCATTTCCTACTCAGGGGTAAATAAAATATTATTAGGAAGGATTTAGGAATTATATTGAAACTAGAAGACAAGACTAAGTTTATTATTCATAGAAAATACATATATTTCAGTGCCAACATAGGTAACATGTATACCTTTCAAGATAGCTAATGAACACTAGATAAGCAAGTATGGAAACAATAAAAATTGAATGCAGGACCTGAATCCATTTCTTGTTTTAAAAACACAAGAGAACTTTAAAGTTGCATAGTTACTCATGCATATGAGGCTTATATTTATTCAGATGAGACAACCTGCACTTGCTTAGCCACAGATGGATATAAAGAAGACACTGTTCATCTGAAACAATGATCCTTTTACTTATCATAGCTGCTGTGTGATGTACATGTCCCATTTAAATGAAATGATTTTCACACTGTCATAAAATATTCATTAAAAATTTTCAGGCAACTTGCAATTCAAAATGTGTCACAATATCTGCTATGGATTAAAAGGGTTTGGTTTTTTTAACCATTTCTTACCTTATATTACTTTTACATTTATATACATTTATTCAAATATCAGTCTTATCAATTTATGCTGTTTTCATGTCCTGCTTTAAAGACACATTTTGATACAGTGCTTTGTGTGTGGCATAAATTAGAGTTAAGAGTCCCAAATTCTGTATGAATTTGTTGCAGTATTATCTAGATTTTCAGAGGAAAATGGTCGCAAAAGTATCCAAATGTCAGCTTGGATTTGTTAATTTACATGGAAAAGAAGATGATGAGGAAAACCCAAGGAACCAAGGAGAGTGTTTTCATCAAGCACCATGAAATACTGATACCATTTTTGTATTAGTTTTCAAAATTAATTCACTCTGGAAAATTAATTTGGAGCTGATGTTAGTACCAATGAAGAAGCCAGCATATTCCAGCTGAGGCAGGTCTCCTGCTGGACAGCCCAGATAGGGCAGGTTATAAGCAGGTCTAATTCCCAAGGCTCCAGCTGAGCTGTGTGATTTCATGCCAGTGGTGATTGAATGTTCTTTTCCTCTGGGAAGCATTCCACGAACTTCTGACCCTCATCCGGGACTAATTTCTACCCATCCAGCAACCAAGTCTGTGGAATACTAGGTACAACTGGACTCAACTGGTTTTGTACAACGGACCTGATGTTTTGAGACTTCTTTGTCCTCCATCCTCGTGGAATAAAGTACGGCGAATTGAGGGATAAGGGGGAGACCTCCAGGCCTTATGCTTCCAGCCCCATTGCCTGCGAGGTGAATGCCCTTCCCCCCACCCCTGCACGTGGCCTGGTGACCCCGCAAGGAGCACACACAGACCACCTGGGAGGGACGGACGAAAGAGGAAGTTTATTGTGGGGTTGGGGTTTATAAGGCTTTTAGGAAGGTCAAAGGGGACCAATCACAAGTTCAGGGTCACACAAAAGAAACCATCAGGTAAGGGGTCAACAGCCAATAGGAAAGGGTTAAACAAAGGACCAATGGGACGCCTCGGGACATCTTCCCAGGACACCTTGTATGGGAGACAATAGCTTAACAGGGGGTGTTTGGGAGAGGGATACAGTGACACTGCAGAAAATACACAAACATGTTGAGACATGTTTAAACTACAGTAAAAGCTTCTGTTTCCATAGGGTTTGAGCTGTTTTCCTCACCAGTCCATTTCTGGCAGGACTTTTTCCATACTGTATATGGCAAATTCATTGCCACATCTCCTCGTTTTTTGTCTTCTAAAGCTGGATATGCTTTTAATGATTGAGAGGTTGTGGCACAACTGAGGAAACACGGAAAGACACACATAAAGAGAAACACTACAGAGAGTACTAGTACGATAACTACAATAATTTTCTTAATAGTGGAAGAGAGGCCTTTGAAGGGTAGCCAGCTGAAAAAATCATCAAAAGTCAGAGGATTAGCTTGCTTGATTTCATGAACTAAGGATTTAAGCTGATTAATCTGGGAGTGGATAGATTGGGAGTGATCAGAGAAGTTGAGGCAGCAGAGGCCTTCAAACTCCTGACACCCATGGCCATTTACTAGAAGGAGAAAATCTATTGCAGCACGATTTTTTGTAGCCAAAAACTGGTTGTTCTTTTCCCTTAGAGGAGGTGTCCGGTCACAGCTGCTCTGAAAATACTTGCTGCACTCTTATGCAGTAGGGTTTAACAGAAAATGCAAAGTCTTATTTTAAAGAACACACAAGGGAAGATGGGCTGTAATTCCCACTGCTTATACCCCAGTTTCCTTATTTTACATTGTAATTAAATGATTAAAAAAAAAAAAAATCAGTGTCCCTCAATTCCTTCTGAATCCTTTTTCTGGGAAAGGGCAGTAAATCCCTGTGCAAGAGGTGATAAGGACTGAAGAGGCCAAAGAACTTCCTTTGATTAGGAGGAGCCTTTGGCAAAGGACTGTTGTGGAAGAAGTTGAGGGACAAAAGGTATGGAAAAGGAAGTTTTATTCACCATTGTCCTGGCCAGATGACTGTGAGGAATTCTCATTTCATTACTTAGAATACTTTCCTGAAAACCTTTCTCAAATTCTATGCCTCTTCAGATTAAATTTATATATAATCATAGAATCATAGAGCCATTTAGATTGGCAAGATCTCTAAGATCAAGTCCAACTATTAACCCAGCACTGCCAAGGCCTCCACTAAACCGTGTCCCCAGGTGTCACATCCACATGCCTTTTGAACTCTTCCACTTTTGCACATTGCAGTAGAAAATTTAGTGTTTAATACAATATGCTTTCAAATTATTTCAGCCCTCTCAGTTCCTGTGGATTTGATGAGGATATAAATGACGTATTGATTTGGGGCTGCCTCAGGAGAGAGGAAAAATGTTTACTGTGAGTTCTGGCTTTCCTCTGTTTGAGTGGTAACAACAGATTTTGTGACACAGGCACAGCTCCAAAAGGAAAGAGAAAGAGATTAGATATAGAGTAGTTTGGGGTTTTGTGTTGGTTTGTTGTTTTTTTTTTTTTAAAAAAAAAAAAAAAGAATGCTTGGCAAGAAAAAGCAGCTGGTAGTGAAACAAATTGAATTCATCTGTGGTACATGGCCTCAGAAAGCTGGAAAAGTGTAGGCATGAACCATACGAAGAGCATTTCTGCTAGCTGCCTCAGCTTCTAAGACCAAAGTAGGCAGATTACATTAGACATAAATTCATTCTTCATGAACCACTAGCAGTAATCAGATGGAGGTGCCTAAAAATCTGTCATGACTAGAAAAAAAAACCAGGTGTCCTGGAAATAAAAGTGTCCAAACATGCACAGTACTTAAAAGTAATGCATCTGACAACAGATAATATAGAAGACATGAGTGTCACTGCACGTAGATTTATTCCCCTATAATATGTATAGACTGAATGAGCTTTTTCTTACACAGTTACCCTCTCTGGGTAACTATGAATTTATAATGCTGCTTCTTAGCATTTATATTTGTCTACACTAAAGATGCAATAATTTATTAACATGGTAATAAATGTTTAATACTCCTTGTCTGTATCATTTCACAAAACTATCTCCTTAAGCCCTGTTTCTTAAAAATATGAGGAAGGTAAACATTAAAATAAAACAACACTCTCCAAAAAATGGGTGTATTTATGCACAGATTTTTTAAAATGTCTCATCTCTTGTTCAAAACTTCTGATTTTGAAAGTAGCTGAGACGGTCAAAGCAAAAGACCAAATCTCATGTTGGATTTGATGTGTTTTGACTAATAATTATCTTTCAGGTGGAATACTTTTTTAAGCTAATATCCATTTAGTAGCTATAGAGAAATTTTAATGCTGGTATAAAAAAAAAGGAAAAAGAAAAAAATTGGCTTAAAAATCAAGTAATATTTTTAAAATTCTGTTTAGCCCTTCCCATCCCCCCCATTTAATTAGAATTCACTGATTTCAATTTTGAAAATGTTTTTTTCACAGTTTTCTGTGTTTGGTAGATATATTTCTTTTTCCAATGGCCTGAAATTTAAACTCCTGAGAAAAAAAACAAAGATAACATAACCTCTCAGATTGTTTTGATTACTGATGATATTACCGTGGTCACTGAGTAGCCAAATTTCCTTTCATGGTTATTCAGAATCAATGAACTTCTAATGTCACGTTGTACAGGATATGGTGGAAAGGATATGGTGAACAGGATATGAAAGTTTGTGTTTTTCTACATAGATTGGAACTTCACTTTCACCATGTCACCTTTTCAAAATGATAGAACGCAGTTTTCCTGCAGTCTCATGTAACTTTCCCAAAATTTCTGAGAGCAGGTAATATTCAGGAATAAAAAATCTCTTCAGAAGAAAGGTGTTAAAAGTCTTCATCTGTTGCATCAAGTGTAATGAATTCCTAAATAGAGTAGAAATCAAATCAGGCACTGTAGTCAGTAGCATTTTGTAGCACTATGAAAAGTTTATAAATCAGCTTTGTAAATAATATTTTAGGTTTTTGTAATGGCAATTTTCATACATATGCAATATCCAATTATCAGTATTTACCAAGTACTGATAAGATTTAACATTTTAATACAGAAATTGATATAATGAAACTTAAAAAGGAAGAAATTAAGAAAAATAAAAAAGTTTGATTCATATTTTTCTCCATTTATTAGTTCTCTGTCATCACTGTAATACCACTGCATTGTTGCAGAAGTAGACATAAAACAAACTTTGGACTCACTTTCTGAGCTGATACTTGGATGAGTGAATTATCTGCTTGTTCATTCCCCCATATCTATCTAAATATATCATTCTTTTTTCTTCCCTCTGTCTTTCTCTCTCCAGCGATGACAATGCAGTTCATAAGCCATCGGTTCCCTGACTATCATGACCCAACTATAGGTGAGTAGAGATTATTCTCTCCTTCACCCCTTTCAATCTCTCTGCCTGTTTGAGATTGTCAGACAGTGAGAGGCTGCTCTTAAATAACCCTTAGATAGAAACAAGATTTGCAAACTTTAGATTACAGATTAATTTTTTGATGACAATTAAACCGTGTCATGGTATTATCATAGGTATTTTGCACAAAATCTTTCAACAAGAGAGTTGTGGATTCATGTGCTGTAACTGTTATTGTGTTACTTGTGCTACTATAATCACAGAATATGAAAAAAATACAGTAAAATAGAAAACAAACTTTCAAAATACTAAAATAATGTAAAAACCCCGGTCTGGAGTGTTTTGGGTTTTTAAGTTTTATTATTTTAGTACTATTTTCCACAATAAAGTCTTAGTCGGACTTCCCTAGAGACGTCAAGTGAGTACTCAATTCAACACACTAGAGTTGTGCTCTGGGATTCCATCCTCAGGTAAACTTCATTGAGTCTACCTACCCATTTTATAAACTTTGATAATAAAAATTATTCACATTAATCTATAATACACTGAAATATACTTTAAATGCTGACCAGTTGTCAGAACTGCATGTTTATTCATTTAAATGTCTTTATTACTTAGCTTTACTTATAATAAAAAAGTCCTTGCATTTATGGGTACTATCTACATGTAATATTTAGTTATAATAGGCAGAAGATGGCAAGAGTCTGGGCTCAATATGTGGGAAAGTCACCAAAAAACATCAACATTTACAAAAATTGCATAAGGAAAAAAAATAAAAATATTCCAACTCTGTCATCCAAAACAAATTTTTGTTTTCTTTGAACTTTTCAAATATTTCAAACTCAGATTTAACCCCTACAATATTACTGTGTTGCTAAACAGATCATCTAATGGCAGTATTTCTTTTTATTTTAACATCCATTTTCCTGGATGTTAATTTTTATAATGATCGAAAATGCATAAACTCTTCATGCCACCAGTAATTTTAAAACTGTCCAAAAAAATTGTAAAATACGATGTGTCAACTCTAAAGAAGGCAAAACTACTATAGAATTTCTGCAAATTCATTTGCTTCACTCAGGAAAAAAATAATAATCATTAAATCTAATTGGAAAAGAAGAACATTATTAGTTACTGGCACCATTAAGCTACGTACTTACACCCATCTTTATTATATGACCTATCCACCTGCCATCAGTATTTATCCATATATTGTATCTTGTCATAATCTCAATTTATTGGTCTCTAGACACCACCACAATATGAATAATAGATAATCATAAAGAGAAGGAAAGCTTGTGATGCATTGTAAGTACCTACTGCGGGAATGCCTTGAGGACCTAATCAGGATGAAGGTCTCCTTGAGCAAGAGAGAGCTGCTACTCGGTAAAACCAACACTCTAAACAGGAGAAGAGAGGGAAATAGAGAACAGAGAAATGAAATGCTGAATTCAAACTCACACGGCTGGCTAGAGGCAGAACCAGAAGTGCAAGTTTTTATCTGTTTGGCACTTTTGTCTCTCAGAACATGCTGAGGACATCCTGAGAAAGGCTTATTAATTTTCGTGCTCTAAAAAATGTAGTAAACAGAAGAGCATAACCTTGGGCCAGGTATGTGTGTTTCATCTTGGATAAATTTGTGATATGACTCCTCAAAATTGGACGTAAAACCAAAAAAAATGAAAACAGAAGGTGTCATTTGTTATCACACCTGTAATAAAAAACTAATAGATTTTAAAAAGTCAATATACTAAAAAACTTTATACTGTTGAGATTTTTTTTACTACTTTTGAGTCCCTGGTCTCAACAAACGGAATTAATCTCATGGGTTTTTGTATATCCAGTGGTAGGCATATTTTTACTATTTAGACCATCATGCTAAAAAAAATAAGGTGGTCTGAAATGAGCACAGCTAGGGAGAAGACTATGCTGATGGCAGGAGTTACCAGAGGAAACGTTGTTCCTCAAAAGTCATGAGGAGCTAGGCACAAACAGATGCTTTGTGTCACGGGGAAGTTATCATCTTAGAGCAGAACAGTGATCTATTTAGTCAGAATTTTGTTTCTCACAGTAAACACAGCAGTAGATGGTGCAGAAAGAATGAAAAAAATAAAAACAGTCTACATATGAAATGTGCATTCATACTGGTTGAGTGGTAAAGCAGAAAATTAAACATAGCTTTTCAGCTCAGTCTGAGGTCACCGATCCCTCTGGATATCAATTTATTGCCTTTCCTTTGTGCCATACATTTTGGGCCACTTTCATTCCTCAGCAATTTGTATCTTTATGGAACTCATGGACTGTCCTGAACATCAATGGGCACACTGGTGCCACGTTTTTCTGTTCTTCTTTGGAAATAACTGCTTCTCCCTACTTGTAGCTTTATTTGTCTTTGGGCATCTTAAATCAACAAGGGTTTCTGTAGAAATCACTGAGAGGGTGATATTGCCTGGAAATAACAAAAAAATAATTCCATGGTGTATTTAAATGATAATCCACGGATTTCCAATGTTAACCAATCTACCGAGTTTACAGTTCTCCAGCTGAGCTTTAAGACAAGGTCTATTATTTCTTTTGTTTCATGTGGACATAATAATCTAATAAATACCTACCATTTTTTTTCTGATATTCCTGCACTACCTATTCTATTCTCATTGTGGTGGCAGTGACTATGCTACTTAACTGTGCCAATTTACCCAAGTTATAAGAAGGTAGTGTTGACAGAATTGATACTGTATCTCCTTGCCTTTGATGGAGCTTTTTCTAAAATCTCTCCTAATACGAATGGATAGGGTGGGGGTTGTGAAATGGAGGGGTTTTTGCAAATAGCATCATTGTCTTTGTAATCCCAGAAGCCCATCACTTTCAGTTTTATGGACAAGATGACAATGACCCAGGGGCTATCAAAATATTTATAATCTTTTTAACTTTTCATTGCCCATTTTAAGCATAGACATGGGAGTAGAATAATAATTTCAACTGTTTCTCATTTCTGTAGATTCCTGTGAAATAGTTTTGTATCTATGTAAATATAAGGGACAATAAACCATTTCCAAAGCACATAACCCTAACACTGATATAATCTGCTTGATATTCTAGTTGAAAAGCAGAACCAAAAAAAATATTCTGTCCATACAAAAGATCCACGAAACTGTCTTGTATAATCAGTTAGGAACACATAAAAAGCCTGAAACAAGGAATCTACAAAAGTTTTTTCTTTTATTTAAATAACAGATGGATGCCAATTGGATTTCAGATTTCATTTCATAAAAGCTCAAATCCTCTCAATCCTAAAAAATGTTCTGAATTTTGATTCTTTTTGTATAATAAATAAATTTTGTGTCCTGACCTACACCGTGCTTTACAGATGCATACCCATAGACAATTGGCTTCTTGAAGTTTTTAGATGGCTTTGTTCTTCCTCCTTATTTTATTTGCATTTTATGCTTCGTCTATAAACTGATAAGACAGTGAGCTTTACAAAGGGATTAGAATAATTTGTTTGGTTGTTTGAGGGTTTTTTTTTACTGTCTAATGTACCACGAGGCTATGGTAAAAAAACGCTTAATGTTACTGACCAGAGAGTGCAGAGGAGTCCTTTCACTTTAACATGCTACCAAATGTGCTTCCCCTTCCAAATTCTACTTCCCTCCAAACACACCACTAGGGATTTAACCTAAACCTTCTGCAGTAATAATCATGTGACTTTACAGATGCAGAGCATTATTTTTTACCTTTTTTTGATAGTCCTCAGGAACATGGATTCTCCCTATCATCCTTCTCCATTGTGTTTCAACCATTGTGTTACTTAAGCTTTAGAGTTTTCTTTTTCTACGGTGATTTGGATCTCTAAGCAATATAGTAGAAATACACAAAAAGGAATATAATGGCTCTTTGTACTTGTAACTTTTTTTTTTCTGTTATCCATCGATATTTCTGAAATATTACAGAGCATCTTGATCAGAAGAAGCTGCTGTTACTGTGAACTGATGCAGAATTTTTTGCTAAAAGGACATTTCAGTTTCTGCATTATGGGATACATATGCTTACAGGTTTTTATTTCATACATACGTGCACTTCAAATGTGCTAATTTTGATTCTAAAAGAGATATACAAATAGATTTAGAATTATTTACACATTTTTCTTTCTGTATTTATAGTTTATCAAAGAAGTACTTCCACTTTTGAAGAACTTACTGGATGTTGTGATGTCACAAAAGTGCAAGATTTTTAAAGATTGCTATGGATTTATTTGAGGGATGTAGTTGGTTTTTGTTCTATAAAGGTTTTTTTGTGCCTTTATTTTTGCTTTGGTTTGGTTTTGTAAGTACATAGGGTATTTTTGTTCTAATAAGTGCCTATTCAGAGAAATCATCTGTACAGTGTGGATCAGACATAAGGTATCCAGATAAATTATCGTAACAAATGTTCCCTTCTGATGTATGAAACTTTTTTTTATTTTAGCTGTTTGTCTTAGTTTGGAAAAGTTGATAATATCTTGAGAAACTCAGACTGCAGACAATATATATAGACAGAAGTAAATGTGCATACGCAAAAATACAGAAATAAATGTATCAGTATTCATTTAAAATACAGATTAAACACTGACTAAAAAGTTAAATACTACCTGAAGTGCTCATTTTAATGCTGTCACTTTGAGTTTAACATTCCTTCAGGGTAATGTGGGAATAATGGCCATATTTTAGGCTTGCTACAGACATTGCAGTTCAAAATTTTGAGATAGAAACATATTATTTTTGTAAGTAAATGAGGAGAGGAAGGACAAAATTAGTATTAGACTGTCTGTGTGAAAATTTCAGAGGTTAGCACTTTGTGAAAATGAAATTATTTCAGCACACATTTAATATTTAATTCTAGTCAACAATGGGAATAGATTCCAAGCGGCAGTGGATATGATAATTTTCTGGAACAAGTGGCTAAGAGCAATTTGCACTCTGCACAGTCTTTGGCAATATCACAGAGAGTTAATGCAAGTACAGTGT